AGATCATGGCCCAAATAATATAACATATATTCACTCTAAATGGTGCAGTGTGAAAATATTGCTTTGTGACATTGGCGGGAGCATGCTGATGACTTTTAGGTGCCTGTTAAGGACGCTCCTGGGCCTCTCCCTCTGGAGGTGTACAACTGGGAGGAGACTATGGGGCAGACGCAGGACATGCTGCAGGGATTACATCTCCCAGCTGGCCTGTGAGTGCTTAAGGATCAGAAAGAGAGCTGGTGGAAGTTGGTGTGGAGTATTATTATGCATGGGTTCCTCTGCCCATCCTGCCACTGTGACCCTGACTAGAGTGAGAGGCTAAAAAATTATGAATAAATGGGCAAATAAAACCAACAATCATAGACAGCCTGGCTCTCGAGTTCTCCCTGAGGACATAATAATAAGAAAAGCGATTATTCATGAAATGTCAATGACAGTAAAATATCTGTTTTTTCAATACTTTCCCCTGCTGCCCTTTGCCGAACTCATTCCAAGTAAACAGCTATATATTGACAATGTATTCATGGCTTGAAACTAGATTCAATCAATGAAACAAACTTCATATTGATAGATTTAATAGTGTAACAACATGCATACAGTTAAAATTGACACAAATTGATCAATATACAATTAAGTTTACACGCTTTTAAAGATTGAGGAACGTCTATCTTTAATGTTCATGAGTCAGACCCTCCTATGCCCCGGAGTAGAGCTTTTGAGCATACTGTCACTATAAAAGCTCATGTGAAATCCTTCATATTATTCAAATGGGTTTCTCCAAAGGTTGCTGTGGAGCAACGTGAGAAACATTGGAAGTACATTCGATTGTTTGTGAAACGACATTGTAATGCAGTACAAAACAAGACCATAGAAGATTTTGGCTCTCCAAATCCATTATGAACAATAGAAAATGCTGATGTGTGTAGCTTACAACACATTTTTCCATAACAATAAATATTAATCCTTTCACTCTGGTTAAAGAGGGACTACACATGCTCTAAAAATTAAATCCAAAGCCTTCTCTCTTGCACACAGACAGCACATTTGAGGTGAGTAAAGGATATCTGCTGCGGGAATTTCACAGCACTTGAGTGAGCCGACACACAGTGGGTGCCAACAGCTAAATTTAGTGTTGGTCTCATAGGGGGGAGGCCTTCCCTGTGGTGAAACCCAATGCTAGGAAACATTCTGTGGGCTTCAGAGAGATAAGAGAACCTAACATGAGTGCCTGTCTGGATTTTTTGAATAAACAGTAGACACGTCTCCTAAGTGTCTGTCAAAAGCAACATTGATTAACACAGTGTACTGAGAATCTCTTAATCAATTAAAAACATTTTTAAAAACACAATTTCGCTCAGCTACTGTATTTCCTGTTGAGCTAATTCCTATAGGGCTATATGATGGAAAACAATCCATCTCCTATGAAACCTTCAATTACTTTTGATTTACGAGTAGCAGATGACTTCCTGATATGGTGCGGTGCTGAGCAGACAGCTGTCAGAGTAAATTTTTGTAAACTCAACAGCTAAACCTATCTTTATTAATCCGTACAGCCACTTCTTACCTAACAAAAAGCAGATAAATGACTTTTATATCATAATATTGAACTGGCCAGAGTGTGTGTGTGTGTGTGTGTGTGTGTGTGTGTGTGTGTGTGTGTGTGTGTGTGTGTGTGGCGATGAGGTGTTTATGGAGCAGAGAGTGAGGGCTCTGCAGTGTAAGTTGGCAGTGTTAATGAATGTAGCCCTAATGAAGGATCATGTGTCTCTCCTGACTATTTTACTAGATTTTCACTCCCTGTATTAACAAAAACAGACACCAGCTAATAGTAGTGATTATGTGTGTGTTAGCATAGCATTTATTGGCTGGATGAAATTAAATGGCAGACGCTCTGTCATGCAACTAATGGGGGAACACATCCACAAAAACAAGCAACCCCGTATGGTAGTGACTAGGGATATTTCAAGTAATATTATGCAATATCTCTCGTTTAATTTTATGTACATAGTAGCATGATAATATTTCATGCATTCTTTGGCCTTTAATTGACGGAGAGATAGCTGGAGATGGAAAGGGAGGCAGAGAGAGGGGGTGACATGCAGCAAAGGGCTGCAGGTTGGACTCGAACCCGGGCCGCTGCGTATATGGGTCGTAAGCTCTACCAACTGAGCTAACCAGGTGCCTTTCATGCATTCAGTTGACCAAATAAACTGTCTATTAAAATGTTGCTATTCTTCTTGCTTCAGCTCAGTGGTGTGTCTATTTAGAAGAAATACTGACTCAAATTCAATTATTTATACTTTCTCGGGTCAACATTGCTGTAATTAATCTTTTATTACTCTACAACAACTTCCAACAAGACTGCAAGTTCTACATTGTCCCATGCTGCAACACAGCAGTAGAAATGTCATAACAATCACATTTTATTTGTACATATCTTCCCAATCAGAAGGTCTATCAGAGGTTATGTAGATCTACCATACATGCCAACTAATTTGCAAACGAAAGTCCATTTTATCCTCGCATTCACCAACTACACAGCAGAGACAAAGATAAGTTCCTCAGTTCACCTACAGTGAGCTTGCTGCTGGCTGCTGGATGGTCCTGGCGGGGAATGTGGCAGGGGCGGGAGGTTGTTTTTGGCCCTGATACATTCAGAGAAGGCCAGACAGTGACATTATGCCAGCCAGGCAGGACTCGAGGGAAAGCCATGTTAAATACCATCTCCTGGAGCGCAAATGGCAGGGAGTTTGTGGTGGTGTTTGGGGGTATGTGTTTGTTTGCGTGCCTTAGTGTGCTTTGAAATGTTTGTGTGGCTGTGTGTGTGCATATCTATGCCTTGTGCTGCCTTGTGCATTAATACACACACGCACACACACAGTCAGAGCACACACAAACACGTACTGACAGTACACTGGCAAAGAGACTAGTGCTGTGCACAAATGACATTCGAAGAAAGGGAAAAACAGGCCAACTGACTAATTATCCATCAACGAAGCAACATGACTGAGATAAACATAAACCAGCATCGCTGCAGAGGTGCTTTTGCACAATAAGGTGGAGGGTGGAAGAAAATGTAGAGATGACAGAGACATGGGGCTGCTAGTCATTTATCCAACAGTATTCACAAACAAGGAATGATTTGTTCTTGGTCTTGTTGATACAGTAAACTTTGAAGTTCTATTGTTTGTTTGGGGCATTGTATGCCAAACCACCAAAAGAATTCTGCAAACCTTAGCTGAGCTGTGGCAGAACTGTGAGAGAGGGAGCAGACAGGAGAAACTATTGAGTGATACAAAAAATGTCTCGCTCAAAAAAAAAGTTGATACTGTTCAAAGATGACAGTTGAATTGACTCCATTTTGTCAAAGTTCAAAATACGGGAAGGATAAAAAGACTTATTTCTCTCACACTACAGGCAAAGCAAAAAGAGAGGGAAAGAAAGAGGCTGCTTTAACAAGACTGGGAGTAAAACTAAACAATGTTTTCTTCATTACTGAAATTAATTTCGACAGAAAAAATGCACAGTAGTATTAAAGTGAATCTATGACATCAGAGAGGCTAGTTTTTAAAAGACAAACAATTAGTTTTCAATAGTTTGGTCCTTCATTTTTCTAAACTACTCTTCTGCTCCCGAGAAACATTCACCATTCACCGTAATGCACCGTTTGGGTTTATTCAATGTTTTAATACCGTCACAATAACCACAGGGGGATTTGTATACTGATTTTGGGTTATTAACTTCCACCCTTCTCCCCTGACAACAAATCTCACTCTCAGCTGTTCCTGAAAGTTGACAACCATGCTATAAATTTAAAGCCAGCCACTGAGAGACCACGATGCGAGCACAGTATGTGAGCTGTAGAATCAATCTCATTCTCAATATCTATCTGTACCTTCACTTCCCATCTGTTTCTATATACAGTACACACACCCATACACGCACACACACACACACAGTTTCCCACCTAAGACAAGGGGTCTATACATAAATAAAGAGACAGTCAGTCTAACCTTTGGTAGACTGGGAGCTAGTGACAGGGTGTCAGAGACCTGCTGACTGTAGAAGAATAATAACAAGAAAGCAGAGCTCCCATTGGTTACCAACCGACTCGGGCTGGTTATGAGACTTTTGAACCATGCCCTGGTGCTAGATGGAAACCTTGGTCCACTGATCTGCCACTATTTCCAGAAGCAGAATATCACAGTGGTCGTCTGCTGGACATTGTGCTATTGTCTGAAACTGATTAAACCGGTGTTGAAACAATACCACTGATTTAGTCAGAAATTACACTAATGATACTGTATTTAAAATCGGTCCAGGGGACATGCTCCATTCACAATCACAATATATGCTGCAATGCTAATTTGTCAGTGACATGTCTACTGAGTTCCAGTGGAAATTCGCAACAGTGTGAAAAGCAACCTATATATTTTATATAGACAATAACAATAACCATAGACAATAACATTCTGGTTAAAACTAACATTAAGGCTAAGATAAAAGAATCATGTCACCTTACACTTGAATTGAACTGCTAATAAAAATCTATTAATATCTATTAAACCTGGTCTTGTCTCTCCGCAAAACTGCAAAGAACTAATGTGGATTTTTTATTTTTTTAAAGCCATGTGTCAGTGGGGAAACATGTTTTTTTTTAAGCTTTTGATTGAATTTCTTCAGCTAATTTTCCCATTAGAGACTGTGAAGTTAGACTGTACTATCAATTTGAGCCAATATTTGAGCCTACAGCAAAGATTTAAGGTCAAGGCTGATAATTAAAATGTGAAATTCATTCATTCACATGTTTCAATTAATATGAAAAATAAAATCCTTTTATGCATATAGTTTATGAATATCGTGCAAGGGCGAGTTGTGATGTCTCTGAACCAAGTCTCCTAAAAGGCTTCCAGGATGGGTTAGGGTTATGGCTGTGAGCAGCAGTTTTTCCCACTTGTACGAGACTTACAATGTGATTGTGATTTTTTTGTACAATTTACCTATTCTGAAGGAGAGCGGGCCACCAGAGGTGCTTCTCACCCACATGGCTAAGAAGAGCAGAAGCGCCCAGGCTGTGAGCATCTTCTATGACTCCTCATGGGTCCTGCCCCGGGGGTGCCCCTGTCACAGCCACCTGAAAAACATACACAGAGAGCACACCGTTTATACATCAACCAACATCAAGAGGGACACATACAAGTCAAAGCTGTGCAGCATACTGTTAAACCTGCAGACATAGAGAGCTTCCTCCCTCTGCTCTCTCTCTATCTCTCTTGTTGCATGCTGGGTATCTGTTAGTGAGGGTGTGAAAGTGAATCTGAGGCCCACGGGTGTTTTGACGATATTTTTTCCCTCGTTGTCGTTTCTTTCTGTATTATTGGGCGAGAGCGAATTTGCTTCTTGGGTTTGTGTTGTTTGTGTCAGAGATGGAAAGACGGGTACACAGACACCGTCCTTGTCTCTCCAACAGTGAACTCACTCACTTTACCCTCCCTCTCCAAGTATGAGGGAGAAACTATGGTGGCAGCAAAACGCACAAAAAAACACAAGCAGTCCCATCTAGTGCCAGTGTTTGCTTTGTCTGTTCTGAGCTACTGTAAAAACATGGTAGTTCAACATGTTGGCCTCTATGGAAGGTGATAAAAATGTCTAATCCTAAAGTAACAAAAAAACACCAGGTCTTTTGTTTCAGGTCCTTACAATATATATACATACTGCTCTTTCACTTCCTATGCCAAGTGTTATGCTGGCAGCACAGGACTGGTAACCTTCCAGTCACATACTGCCTCTCCATTCATCAGGCCAGAGTGCATATCAAGTGTAGAAAAAGAAAAAAAACACTTCTCACAAGCTTTAAGCTATAATTTCTTGATTAGTGTTAGGCTGGCTACCTGTTATATGTGTGTGTCATGTATGAATATGGCGGTTAGTGGCTCTGTTTGCTGAGTTCATGCTCTGAAGCATGGTGTCCTCAGTTGTTGACCAGTAGGAGAAAACAGACTGCATGAATGCTCGATAGTGGTCCAAATCTGGTTGCCCAAGGCAGCAGGGGAACTGTTGACTGTTGCGCCTGAGATCTATTTCCAAATTTAAAGCTCCATTGTGTAACATGTAGGAGGATCTATTGGCATAAATGGAATATAATATTCATAGGTATGTTTTCTATTGTGTTTCTGTTACCTTAGAATGAGCATTTTGTATCTACAGAGGGAGCAGGTGCTCTTCTCAGAGTCCGCCATGTTGAACCGCCATGTTTCTACAGTATCCCAGAACGGACAAACCAAACACTGGCTCTAGAGTGAGTGTTTCACGTCTTTTGCGGCCATTGTAGTGTCTCCTACATGCTGCAACAGCAGGTTGAGGTAAGGGCACAGATGCCACTAAATCCTACAAACTGGTCCTTTAACAGTCGGATCAGATCATGCGCTGCTTTGCTTTTCTGAACAAAACAAAGAGGGTTAGTGTAAAAAAAAAACCTCTTTTAAGAAGGCATCCGAGGCTTAAAATGTTAATTCATTACTTCCTGTAATTGTTGTAAAATTGTGAATTGTTCTGTTTAATCATTTTAGTTATACTATACATAGTTTAAGAACAGTGTTTAAACATTAATGGTGGGAGTTAAAAAAGTTTAAGAGCTGTATTTGCAGAAATGATAAATCAGAAAGAAGTTGGTTGTAGTTTTCCCACAGCAGTGGGGAAAATGAGGTACACACTAGGGCCTTTAGAGCGGGTACATTACTGTATGTTCTTTGTCATGGTTACAGTTTAAGTGCACCAGAAGCTTGGCCTGTATTTATCAGAGATTTCAGAGAGGCAAATCAGTCCTAATTGACCCACAGTTCAGCCCGTGATGGATACATGTATTCAGTCCTACTTTAAGGCTTAGGAGTAAAAGCATTTTATCGTCTCTCTAAACCAAAGAAATTACTCTCATCTCCTCCAGGATTGAGAAGGTTTGTAAAGCTATTAGTAGTTCCCAGCAGGGGGATACTGATAGGACAAACATGCACACACACTCCAGGTGTGGAAATATAACAAATATTTCATTTATAAGAACAAGCTTCTTCAAACACAATTATTGGACTGAAACTTATTTTGACTGATTTTGTCCATGTTCGGGATAATTGCTCCATCTATAAACCTGGCCCCACACTGACTTCTTTCATTTCAGGCTTAATTGAAAACATGGAAACAGAGTTAAAAAGCGCTGATTTGGTAGCTGCTGTGATTGCATTTATTGCACCTCAAAGCTCCTATATAATGAATACTTAATAGTTTTTTCCAGCACTAATATAGAGTAAATTAAGAATTACACAAAGGGAAAAAAAGATTCAACATATACTGATATGCAAATGTTATCTTCGATATTGTGGCCACATTCCAGCTTAGACACAATTACAGATATACCAAAACAATTCAACAGCCTTACTGATAAAACAATGTAAAAGCAGCTATAACTGATATTTTTATAATGACAATGTATCAAAATTGTGACAGGGGTCGGGTAGTGATCAAACTACATATAATTATGACCTGAATCTGTAGTTCACCTCAGTTTACTGAGCTTTATAGTTAGTTTCAGCTTATTGTTTTGCTGTCTGGCCCACAACTTTACTCTTTTGATTCACTCTCACTGCTCTCATAGCACAGTTTTTGACTGAAACAGGCAAGCTGTTTCCAGCGAAAAAGCTAAGAAAAAAAACTTTACACTACTACTACACTTTGGTCATGGGTAGACCAAACAACAGAAAGACACAGTTAGCAAATAGCTGGTGAACAATATGGAGCATTTAGCAGCTAAAGAGACAGGCATTTCCTTCAGGAGAAAAAAGCAAGCTAAAAGAGAGTGAATATTGGGCTTATATTCACCAGGTCGATACAAACACGACTCCAAATTAATAGATGTTTAAAGAAATAACTGTTAAATGCTAGCAACTTTGCCATATCAACTTAAATGGCGAAGACCTATGTTGTGCTCAAATAATTGCATTTTTAAAGGACCAGTATGTAAGATTTAGGGGAACAACTGGCAGAAATGTATATCATATTCATAGGTATGTTTTCATTACATACACCAGAAACACCACAGGATACCATCATAAATTTAACAACATGATTCTGAGTCCAAAACAGTAAAACAGTGACGTCATTCATGGTATATTCAATCCTATCTTAACTCATCACTCATCCTTCTTCTTCTCCTTCTTCTTAGATGCTTCATACGAGTCCTGCTCTCTTTCCATCAAAGTTAGGCTGTGTTATTTAATCTGACATTAGGGTAGTGTAGCAGTGGGCGGTTCTGGTAAGCAGTTCTTTCGTCAGTGTTTATGTTTTAAAGAAGAGAGGTCAGCGACTATAGGTCAGTGCAACCATAGTGACAGTATTGCAGTGGGAGGAAACTGTATAAAGGACTTTACTTTGGACAGGACAAACAAAGAGTCTCTTTAGACTTATCGTTAAAAATATAGTGATCCAGTTTGATCTGCTAGAAACACTGAGGACAAAAAAATCCAAATGTCAGACAGTACACCTGTGAAGATGGCAGACAGAGAGATTAGCTTATCCAGACTGAATAAACTAGGGCTTCTATTTTTGTACAGGCACAAAGCCAGTAGAGGTGCAAATGTAACCACTATGTCATTATCATCGGGAGGAAGTCCCCTGTTTTGTGTTTGCACCTGTTGGGTTATTTCTGCACATGTTGTCTCTTGAGGTAGTAGGTGGGTTCTGAATTTGAGGAAGTGTTTACCAAGAGCGTCTTAGCTGGCAACCTGGACTTGACAAAAGAAGAAAAATCACAGCCTCTGAAGACCCAGTGGAGGTCTTGCAAGAACTGGTGGGAGCGCGCCACAATGTTGTTTTACAAGACAGTGGACAGAACAGAGGAGTTCATCCTTGTAGTGGCTGTAGAAGAGCTTCTGTGGGGAACTTGTTTCATTTCATTTTTATATGTTCTTACAGGTTTTAGCTTGTCCTCTGCTGACTTGTATACTATGTAGTATAACACTGTTTTTGGTGACCCTCTGTCGCTCTCGTTCTACATGAGATGAATCTTTGTTTTGACGTAAGTTACTACGCTATGAACAACACGACCATGCATCTGTCTGTGTGACTTGAATCACTTGTCTGTCAGGGCAAAATATGTTCGATGTTAGTGAAGTCCATTGAAGGTAGAATCCAAGTAATACATGGTCCACATGCTTTATCAGAGCATAGACCTACAGCTACAGTGGCGTGTGATGAATAGCTCCTTTGGATTTGATATTTTGTTAACATAACATCATCAAGAGTCCAATTTAAATCTTTAGTTCTAGATGGGGAAGTGAAGAAGTGCTCTCTGCTCTTTTAACAACTCCCAGGGACGTGTTTATAAGTGTGAAACCATATGAGCCAGTGACAACAGTACAAGTCTATGATTATTATTCCATGCAGCTCTCTCTCTCTCTGTCTGTGTGTGTGTGTGTGTGTGTGTGTGTGTGTGTGTGTGTGTGTGTGTGTGACCCTCCTTACACGCTGAAAAGATTCACTGAGGGTTCAGCAGCATGTGTTTTTACTGAAAGGAATAAAATAAAGCAGATTCCTTTTTAGTAACAGAAAATAATTACAGATACTTGGTACAGATACAGATATTTGACTGGAAATGATTACAACATTAATAGCCCACACTGGCAAGAGGAAATCAAATTCCCAAGCAAGCTGAAATGTGAACACCAGAGCACCAATCATGTGAAATTGTGAGTTATAGCAGGTTTACTTCAATCTCATCTGCCTACCGGTTATTTTGTTGACATTTTGGTAAAGTTTGGCAGCTCACTTCCTGTGATGGGCAATAAGATGGATCCTGTGAGTTCTAAGACCTTGCTGAGTTATTGCTCAGGAGAGCCCTGGGGAACAGTTGGATAGGGCTGTCAACACATCAAGATGATTTCACAGACCTTTCCTTGGAAAACTATGCAAATAACAGCTGTCAAAAGTCTTCCCCCGAGGTTCTCAGAAGAGGAGAAAAACAGAAAAACAGCATCAAATGAGAGGCCTGTTCCCAAATTAATTGAGTACTGAAAATTCCTTGCAGGTTATATCTTTATGTACACATGGGGATTACTGTGCTTTATTGTTCAATTAGCCTGACTCTAG